ACACACACACACACACGCACGCACACACACACACACACACACACACACACCTGCAGAGCCACACCGAGCTGGGCACCTCCATCAGCTCGTCTGGCGCATAGCCCTCTGCCGCCAGCCCATACGCGTCGCGCCACATGTGGAAGAAGGGCCGGCAGGCGGCGCGCTCGTCCACCTCCTGCGCGTGATGAGGACGCCCGAGCAACGCAACCAGATGAGTCCTGAACAATCAGTCAAAGCGCATAATTCAGCTTGTGATGGGATAGGTGCGACACGCCCCCAGCCATGCGTGTTACGTCGTGATACCAGCCCTAATAGCCACCCAGGAAGGTGGGGGTTGCCACGAGACCATGCCCAGTGCAAAACCGGATGGGCCGCCTGTTGCTCCCACCGTGCGTGCTCACCTCAAACGCGTTGCCAGCTCGACCTGTGGACACGCGCGCATACCAGACCCACAGGCCGTGGCGCGCAAAGAAGAGCGCGCGCCTGGTGTCCCCACACCTGCGGCCGCAATAGAGGAGTGCAGGAAGCGGCTTCAGAGCGCAGCCGTCAGCAACAGCATCGCACGCAGCAGGTTGCAAAGGCAGCGAGGCTGCAGCCCCCCGTCCCACGGCCCCGCCCTTTGGTGCCGGCTGCGGTGCGTTTGGCTGTTTTCACCTGTGATGGTGCTCCGCGAGGGCCGCCAGCGCGTCAAATCCCACCAGGGGGGATGCAAACTCCAGCTGGGAGGCGGTGTGGGGGACATCTTGTTCCCGCCACAGCTGGTAGTCGATGAAGCACGGAAAGAGGACACCCGTCAGCAGGTCGGCGAGCCGCCGCGTCTCCTGCGGAAGCGGACACGGGACCCGCAGCCTGAGTGCGGGCGAGTGCGCTGCGCGCTGTGCGAAGGACCGCGGCGTATCTGAGGCGCAGAGGGACGAAGACGCGGGCGGCGGCGACCGTCAGGTGCGGGCCAGGGTGCCTAACAGAGCGTGCGGGGTCCGTCGCGTGACCCGCTCTTGCGCGTCACAGCCGCTGACTGGCTCCCGCTTGCGCCAGCATTGCAGCATACGCACGTTTGGCGGCGACCGGGAGGGCCGCTCCGTGGCCATTCTGCAGGTGAGGGCCTGCGCCGCCGCCCAGGCATGCGACACGCCGACATCCAAGCGGACGTCCTTTTGCGCTTTCTCCGACGCCAGCGCCGCGCCAGCGAGGGCGGCAGCCATCTGCAGCGTGTAGGGTAAGGGAAGCGGTGTTACTGCTTGTATGCGCGAGGTTGAGAGGCAACCAACCTCTACCTCGGCATGTCAGGGGAGTCGCAGAACCTGGCGCCGCAACGTTCGCCCCCAATCCCCTGTAAAAGTCAGCCCCAACGACACTCTCTTGGGCACGCGCATCAGCCCCCCTTCTCATTCGCCTCCCGCACCTCGTTCAGCGCCGCAACCATGGACGCCCCGCCCTCTGCAGCTCCCGGCAGCAGCCGCCGCCACGCGAGAGCCGCGGCTGCGCCGAGCGCCTCTGCGGCGATCGCGGCCGGCAGGCGCGCGAGCGAGGCGGTGCCACCAGATTCGAGCATCGGCGGCGCGATGACGGCGCGCGATGCCGACCAGCGGCAGGCCGTAGTGACGTCATCATCCATTGCTGCGTCGCCATGCGCGCCGAATATCGCCAAGGCTGTCCTTGTCACGTGATTTTCGGCGGCGACGGCAGCGATGTTCGTGGTAATGCAGGCAAAACTGCGGCCAACGTTAAGGGTGCAGCAGCATCAACAATGCTGCTCCGCAACAAGCACTTGAGGGGTTGCGCGCGGCTCACGGAGAGGTCTGGGCAGCAGGGGGCAGCTGGCGACCAGGCAAACACACGTGCTTGATGCTGCTTTGCCGGGCCCGGCATGTGTCCAGTGTGGACACCTTTCAAAGGGCTTGGCGCATAGGAGTGTATCTTCACCCATTCGCGCTCTCACCTGATGCCTTCAGGGCTCAGAAAGCCAGCTGGCACGTCAGCTGCCGCCGGCAGCTCCCGCAGCTTGCCCAAAACCGTCTGCAGAGCCATTTGAAACAGCCGCTGCTCTGGCTTGTCCTCCCCCTGCTCCTCCTCCTCCTCCTCCTCCTCCTCCAGCTGCTGCTGCTGCTGCTGCTGCTGCTGATGCTGCTGCTGCTGCTGCTGCTGCTGGGCGCTAGCCGAGGGCACTTTGAACAGATCCTGCGTCGCTGGCAACACCAGCGTGGCCACAGGCAGCACCGAACCCCCCTCCCCGCTAGTCTGGCGTGTGGCACGCAGCTGCAGCGCCATAAAGAAGAGTAGGTACTGCACTCCTGGAAAGAAATGCTCGCGATCCGGCAGGTCGTTCCAGGCAATGCCAGATGGCCCTTGCACCACCTTCCTGGACTCTGCAAGGCTTTCCAGGAGGAGAGCGGTTGTCGACCTGCTGTATGCGCGAGTAGGCGCGAAGCACCGGTCCCCCGCCAGCTGCTGCTGCCGCATGGTGCAGGCGCCGCTGCCGGCCCTCTGCGTGCACGGCAGCGTCTTCCAGGGCTGGGCACTGCTGTTGCAGCTGTGCAACGGCCATCGCCACGCCCAAGGCAAGCTGTAGCTCTTCTTTTGAAGCCTGGGCGGTTCTGTCAGGTGGTGAGCTGCGGTCACGCAGCTCAGCCCTCTGACCCTCGAATTTCTCGTCCACCCTGGCTACTAAACCGGTCAGCAATGACATGGCGTCTACTGCGAGGCCCGCCAGCGCCCTTCCAACACTGTCGCTGCTGGTGGCACGGACTTGCACCACCAACGGGCGGCGCAGCGGCAGGCCGGTGGTGCCAGGTCGCGCTGAGGCCTGACTTGCATCGTGTCGTCGCAGCAGACGTGCACGCAACATTTCTGTCTGGGCAGTGTGACACGGGGGTCACGACACGATCTGCATGATCAAAAAAGCCAGTGATGTCGGACGATCCTATACACGTGATTGATTAGATTGTGAATGTGCCAGTAATCACGCTACAGATGTGCCAGTACGCCGTTGTACCGGTATCAACGCGTCGTATCAGCGGTTGCTGGGACGTCCGTGAGTGTCACGGGAATGCGAGTGACGTGTGCACTCATCGGTGTCAGCAGTGTCATTTCTAAGATGTTGAGCCTGTGACGCGAGAAACGAGGCACTCACAGGTGCTTTCTGTTGTTGATTCCGGGCACACAGTCGCAGCCGTTGACTTCGAAGAGATCATTACGGTACGATGTACAGTTCAAAATCATTGCACACTTCAAAACCAGCAATCCCATGTTGTCTTCGACTTCCATGTACAACCAGCACGCGCCATAGTCACCAGGGAGGCCACTGCCCAACGCCTGCAACTCTGACACGTGTCAGAGTTGTCGCAGTGCACTGCGACACAGGACAGTGTGGTGCTTGCCAGCAGCAACGACGCCGTCGACGGCAGTGGACATACTTGCGGAAAGCCACAGGCCAGCCTCGCTGCAGGTGCTGTGTCCTCGGTCAGTAGTGCCGCAGGCGTCATCAGGACGTCAAAGGAGGCCTTGGACTGGGATGAGCCAAGGCAGCAGGGACGACCTGAAACGCGCACAGCCGTCAAACCCCTGAATGTCTGCCAGAGATGATACATGTCTGTCAGAGATGATTCAGTGTAGGACGGATGAAGAGGTTGGCAGTGCGCTTTACGTTGCCCGTTAGTACCTTGAAAAGCAGCAGCAGCTCCTGAAGGGCGCCGCCGCGCGTACGGAGCAGCACCAGATGAGTTGAAATTTCAACGTTGAAGGCTGCAGCCGGCGCACTGCGTGTGTGCGTGGCAGCAGCGACGGGGCGGCAGCGGTGGCAGCAGCGGCAATAAACTCAGCACAAGCAGGTCGATATCCGACAGGACGCCCCAGGCACTGCCTGATATTGCGTGCGCCATGTCCCTGGTCTCCTCCCTGCTTGCCATTAAGGAGGGCAGAGCCGTCCCGCGGCACGCGCGAGCAGGGGCGAAGCACCGGGCCCGCGCTAGCCGCTGCCGCCTGGTGCAGGTGCCGCTGCCGTCGCTCTGCGCGCGCCGCGCGGCACCAGCCTCCAGGGCTGGGCGTTGCTGGTGCAGCTGTTTTAGAGCCATCATCACCACGTGCCGCACCTGCTCCAGCCGGTCTTTTGACAATGGCAGGTTCAAGTTGGGTTGTGGGCTGCGGCAGCTCAGCCCCCTGACCGTCAAACATCTCCTCCACCCTGGCCGCTGCACTGCTCAGCAATGACATGGCGCTTGCTGCGATGCCTGCCAGCGCCCCTCCAACGCCACGAGCACTGCTATCGCTGCCGCCGGCACGAACTTGCACCACCAACGGGCGGCGCTGCGGAAGGCTAGCGGAAGCAGGTCGCACTGATGCTTGACTTGCATCTTGTCTGTGAAGTAGCCGTTCACGCAACATTTCAGTTTGAGCCGTGTGTGGTGACATGGGAGTCACGACACGATCTGCTTGAGAGTGGTGTCCGACGATCGTACAAGCTTTTTACATGTTTTGTTTGAACGTTGCACTAGATGCCATTGCGCAGGTACAGTGCCTCACGGATGTGCCAGCAACCGCTGATACGGTATGCGCAGCTTGCATACAACTATCAACTGGCAATTCCAGTACATCAATCACAAAATGAAACATACGTTGTTCCACACCGCATTATTTGATTGTCTGCAAGATCGTGCAGATCGTGTCGTCACTCCCATGTCACACGGCCCAAACTGAAATGTTGCGTGCACGGCTGCTTCAAAGACAAGATGCAAGCCAGTCATCAGCGCGACCTGCTTTCGACCGCCTTCCGCAGCGCCGCCTGTTGGTGGTGCAAGTCCGTGCCAGCGGCAGCGACAGCGGCGCTCGTGGCGTTGGAGGGGCCCTGGCGGGCCTCGCAGCAGGCGCCATATCGTTGCTGACCGGTGCATTGGCCAGGGTGGAGGAGAAGTTTGAGAGTCAGGGGGATGAGCCGCGCAGCCGTGGCTCGACACCCAACAGAAATCTGCGCTTGACAAAAGCCGGGTTTGAGCGCCTCACCAGCCTAGAGCGCCTCAACCTGGCGATGGCCTTTGCAAAGCTGCAGCAGCAACGTCCAGCCCTGGAAGCTGCTGCCGCGCGTGCAGAGCGACGGCAGTCGCGCCTGCACAAGGCGGCAGCAGCCAGAGCGGCTCCCCTGCTTCGCTCGTACTCGCGGGTGCAGCAGGACAGCTTTTTTCATGGCAAGCCTCGAGAAGGTCGAGGACATGCTGGCAGCGCAACCAGAGGTTGCCTCGAGCAACCGGTCGGTGCACGAGCTACCTGCTTCACAACTGCTGCACGTACTCTCCACTTTGACGCTGCAGCTGCGTGCGGCACGTCATTTGCGGGATAGGGCCTGGGCTTCGGAGCTGCCTGTGGCCACTCTGCCGTTGCCGGCGCTGCAGGACCTGTTCAAAGTGCCCTCGGCTAACGCCCAGCAGCAGCAGCAGCAGCAGCAGCAGCAGCAGCAGCAGCAGCAGCAGCAGCAGCAGCTGCAGCTGGACGAGGTGCTGGTGGAGGAGGAGGAGGAAGAGGAGGAGGAGGAGGAGGAGGGGGAAGAGCAACAGGCAGAGCAGCATCTTATACAGAAGGCACTGCAGTTGGTGACTGGCGAGCTGCAGGAGATGCCGTCAGCAGCAGAGGTGCCAGGTGGCTTTCCGGGGCCCCGATGCATCAGGTGAGGGCGCGATTGTGGGCAGCTGCGGCCCGATGCACTGAGTCATGTAAAGTAACGGCCTCCAGAGCAATAACATGCTTGGAGGGCCCGACGAAGCAGCACCAAGCCTGAGAACCCGCCCAGCCGCCCGCCGGCCTCCAAACTCAAAAACCTCCCTGCGAGCCTCGACTCCTCATGTTCTTGTTGCGCAGCAGCAAGTGGCGATGCTGCCCCACCCTTACACTCGGTGCGTGTACGCCGCAGGTTTGCCTGGTCCACCACGAATATAGCTGCCGTCACCGCTGAGGAGCACGTGGCATGGACGGCCGCAGCCATGTTCGGCGCGCCGGGTGACGCAGCAGTGGATGATGACGTCACCGCGGCCTGCCGCTGGTCCGCATTGCACGACGTCATCGCCCCGCCGCTGCTCGAATCTGCCGGCACGGCCTCGCTCGTGCGCCTGCCGGCCGCAATCGCCGCAGAGGCGCTCGGCATGGCCGCAGGGCTGGCGTGGCGGCGGCTGCTGCTGGGCGCTGCGGAGGGCGGGGCGCCCATACTTGCGGCGTTGAACGAGGTGCGAGAGGTGAATGCATTCGGGAGCACATCGTGCGCGTGCCAAAGGGAGTATCGATGGGGCTGGCCTCTGCCGGGACTTGGACCAAACGGTGTGGCGCTTGAGCACGCAACTCTCCTGACATGGTGTAGTGTGCTGTTTGCTTCTCAACCTTCATCCTATAAGCAGTGACCCCCCTTCCCTACACAATTCAGGTGGCTGCGGCCCTTGGCGGTGCGGCGCTGGCGTCGGAGAAAGAGCAGAAGGACTTCCACTTGAGCGTCACAGCATCGTTTGTCTGGGCGGCGGCGCAGGCTCTCACCTGCAGGATGGCCACAGAGCGGCCCTTCCGGTCACCGCCAAACGTGCGCATGCTCCAATGCTGGGCTCGCGAGAGCAAGTGAACAGCTGTGACGCGCGAGCGCCGGTCGCAAGGCCTGCCCCGCACGCTTTGTCAGGCAGCCTCTCTGCACCCGACACTGGCCGCCGCGCGCGTTCTCCTCCCGTCACGCCACAGCCTAGCGTGCAGAGCGCAGCGCGCCGGCGGCGCACTCACACCCAGGCTGCGAATCCCGTGTGCACTCCCGCAGGAGACGCGGCGGCTCGCCGACTTGCTGGAGGGGGTCCTGTTTCCGGGGCCCCTGGACTACCAGTGGTGGCGCCAGGAACCAAGGCGCTACGCTTCATTGCAACTGGAGACGGGGTCCCCCCTGGTGTTCTTTGACGCGCTGACGGCCCTCGCGGAGCACCACCACAGGTGAAATGGGAAACAGCCACCGCAGCCGCCGCCAAGGGACGGGGCCGCGGGACGGCGTGCTGCGTCTCGCCGCCCCCGCTGATGATCTGCTTGGTGCAGCAATCCTGTTGATGGCTGCGAGCCGCCGCTTGCGCGTGAAGATGACGGGGACCGCCGCTTGTTCCCCTGTGCTGCGGCCCCAGGTGTGGGGACACCAGGCGCGCGCTCTTCTTCGCGCGCCACGGCCTGTGGGTCTGGTACTCGCGGGTGTCCACGGGTCGAGCCGGTAACGCGTTTGAGGTGAGAACAACTTGTGCAGCCACTCATGGCAACAAGTGGTCTCTGCGTTTTTTTTTCATGGGTGTGGTCTTGTGGCTAACCCCCGCCTTGTCGGGCTGGCTTTGCGCTGGGAATCGCAGGGCTGTGGGCGTGTTGCACTTGCTGCGTATCACAAGTAGAGATAAGCCGACTGGCTCAACCAAAAAATCTTGCCTGGGCGTTTTGCTCGGTCGTCATCATCACGCGCAGGAGGTGGACGAGCGCGCCGCCTGCCGGCCATTCTTCCACATGTGGCGCGACGCGTACGGGCTGGCCGCAGAGGGCTATGCGCCAGACGAGCTGATGTTGGTGCCCAGCTCAGTGTGGCTCTGCAGGTGCGTCCTTGCGTGTGTGCGTACGTGTGTGCGTGCGCATGTTGCGCGCGCGTGCATGTACATTTTTGGGATTGTGCGCATCCACCAGTGGACGCGCGTGTGCACACGCGTGCATGTGTTGAGCGCGCGCATGCTTATGCATCAATGTGCTTGCAGTGCGTTTGCAGCTCCCACTGGTGCTGGGCAGCTGTGCAACGCAGCCTGGGCGAGCCGCGCCCCTAGGTACGTACAACACATGCCATGTATGCCTATGTGTCAGCACCAACGCTCAAAGTCTGGCTGCGCCCATGCAGCACGCGTGCTGGCAGCTGTTGAGCTGCTTCTCACGTCCCTTCCCTCAGGCTGTTGACCCTCGCTTCCCTCTTCTCCAGGCACTACCAGCGCCTCGTGCAGCGCTTCATGGTTCTCCAGCTGGAGGAGTCCCAAGCTCTGCCGCACGTCGAGGGGTGCCTGGGACCCGCCGCCTGGGAGGCGACTCGCTCGGCGCTCGACGCGCGCTCGTGGCGGCCCGCACAAAGGCCAGGGGTGCGTGTCGGGGGCAGCAGCGGCTGCGCCACAGCAGAATCGCCGAGGCATGCAGACGGACTGATGCAGCGGTATATGTGCAACCTTGCGCGCATGAGTGCCTACGCACGCGCACGCACACGCACACGCACACACACACACACACACACACACACACACACACACAC